GAGTATTCTGAAGGAGGTAATCCATTTGGCAACATGCCAGAGTATGTCGATTTCATTCTCAGTGTCGTACCCGGAGGTCTGGATGTGCGGGATGGTGGCTCCAACCGGAATGTTGTGAACGCGCGATTCGCCAAATTCTACACCGAGCATGGTCATTCCCGAACAAAAAGAGACTAAAAGCTTCACTCACCTGATTCTGACGCAAATGTATGCCTTTGGTAGAAACCGAGATCCGTTGAGCCAAAGGAGATGCCAAGCGGGGTAGAGTAGCAGAATCACTCGCTCTCGAGAGGCGTCTTAGCATTTCACAGGTGGTGGAGATCAAGAGGCGAGGTGGCTTTTATACGCGTCGCCCGTTATGGTCGAGTGCATCCGGGCCAAGTGGCATGTGATTGCCGGAGCACCATCTCGGCGACACAAACAAGGTAATCAATACCATTTATGACTCAGCTATCGAGAGAACAACTCATTCCAAGATATCGAACGAGATAATAAGCAGTCTATATTTATAAATATGGCAACACCGAGTCTGGAACCCACTCGGCAGAACTTTGAGATGAGTTTTGATTCGTCAGCTTTCAACTTCTGGGAGAGCGCTTCTAGTTTCAAAACCACCCCAAAATGCACCCCTATCATACGTAGAGATAAGGGTCATTTCTCAGTTGAATTTTGTCATAATGTGTCTTCACATCCGTGGAAGTTGTAAAGATAAAATGAAATCATATAATCCATAAAGAATCAATCTAGATCACATTACTTTGCACGACACGTCTTCTTGAGACCAGAGAAAAATGTTCACTTCACAGACGATCACTTGCGGCCAGGGACCACCCACTCGAGTTCTTGCTCTTCCTTGGGCTGCTTCAACCCTTCAGGCGAAGACAGCTCTCCATCACTGCTAAGCGCAGCCCATTCATCCTCCACAAAGTCGCCTCCCTCTGCAGCCATAATCTTGTTCACCATCGCACCCTTGTCCCTGAGATACCGAATAACTTCACGACCATGGCGCCAACCCGAAGGATAGAGTTCAGCCGTCTCATCTCCTACAACAGCTGCACCATACGGAGGATCGGTGAATAGGCTATCATGTCCGCCACCGTAGACGTCGACAAGGAAACCGCTAGCTGCAACCCTGACACCTTCCTTGTCGACCTTTCGGAGGAATGCAGCGAGTTGACGAGTAGCCTCAACACGAGCACGGAGAAGGTGGCGCACGAGCCTGCGCGTCGGAGGTCGCTTGTTGCTGTTGCGCTTGGATGATTTATCAGAAGAAGAAGTGCTCGGTGTGC